CACACACACACACACACACACACACGCACACACACACGCACACACATATGCACCCATGCACCCACACATGCACACACACACGCTCTCTCTCTCTCGCGCGCGCGCGTGGGCGCTGGAAGACACAGAGAGAGAGAGAGAGAGAGAGAGAGAGAGAGAGAGAGAGAGAGAGAGAGAGAGACAGCGCAGCTATGTTAGAGTTGCACACACACACTTAGGGCGGGCATGAGGCTCTCTKGGGGCCGCAGCCCAGACCACTTGCATGTCTGATAAGGGCCCCGTGAGGGCTCATTCCTGGCACTACTAATCTAGCATAGTTTATCTATTTTGTATGGTATTGTATCCTAGACTGCCGTCTTTCCCCGAATTTAATGAACCCTAATTCTGAATGTACACAAGCTATCTTTCCAGTCCGGCGAAGCCAAAAATGAGGGTGCGTTGTGTTCGGGGGAAGACGGTAGTCTGTTGAAATACAAAACAACGATTTCGGCTTGGGTACAGTCGCAATGAGATGGTGCGTTCTATTCGGGGGATGGGTGGCAGAGGCAGAAATTTCTCAATTTATACAGACCTTTGCGTGGCCACACCGTTTGTCCATGTGGCCGCCAAAACAGATCTCCACCTGTGTATGTCCACGTGGCAGTCTCATCACACGGCGAAGCTGCCACAGTACATGTCCACGTGGTCGCAGCTCATATGTCCCACACGCGGTTATAGCACTGCTGTCCACGTCACCACATTTCAGATGTCCACGTGGCCGTGTGGAGTGTGTTGTCCACACCGCCGTGTGGACGTGAACGATTTTGGCTGCCCGCCTGATCAWGCTGAATGTATATAGGCACTGCCATTATCACCGTATATAGACGGTGCCCTTGTGTTTTGGGCGAGATGCTCCTGTCTTTCCATGACGACGCTGCCCTTGTGTTCTGGRGAAGATGCTCCCGTCTTCACCCGAGCAGAACSCACTGCCATTATCAGACAGCTGTAATTACAGTGAGACTGAAAGTTGTCCCAAACACAGCTGTAATTACAGTGCGTTCTATTCGGGGGAAGACGCTAGCAGTGATATCGTGTGATTTTTTTTATCAACAGAGAGCACCTTGCAAGATCAAAGGGCGAGAGCCAAATGACAGCAATTCAAATTGCAACACCACATTAAAAGACAGATAGCACCAGCCGCCTTGCACCCAAAAAAAAAACGACAAAAGGCCATGCATCAGTCAGGATGATGCTTCTTATAGAAATGTCCAACACACCAAAGCTCTAATTTGTGTCACACATTCATTTAGTATGTCATTGAGCATACTCGTTGACAAAGGGAACAGCCGGTAAACCWGRAATAAAGAATTCTTCATTATCTTGTATAAGATACCACTAATCAGATGGAAGGYCTGATATGATCGCCATCATCGCCGGCCCCAAAACCARATCTGGATGAGCCATTATAGAGGACGGATTAACTGTCAAATCGTGGTGTCAGGGTGCCCCACGGACAGTTCACCCGATGGGACAGATGGATTTGTCGTGACTGTGGTAAATCCCACGGACAGATTTGGACCATTTCTCGATTTATGCGTGTCATCGTTGAAAGCGCAGGGGCCATGCTAATCTTCTCTTTCTCTGTRTCGTTCCARTTTGAACGGATGTCCCGAACGACAGATTTGGACTCCGTACCTTTCCTTCTTACAAGATTCCTGAGGAAACTACCCCTTTTCGAACAACAGGGCACTGCCCGCCTGCTTTTTAGACTGGTTTGAAGTCAGGTGTTCCCGCCCCTTCTGCCTGTGCAAGCTTTTGTAATTGTTGTTTTCTCGAAGGGGACAAAAAGGCGGGAAAAAAAGTACACAGAGAGATAGACGACGGCGAATGGAAGACAAAGATCCTACTGATCCGGCGTCTCGTGAAGAAAGGAGAAGAAAACGAGATTATCGACACAGGAGTGATAGAGACCACAATATATATATATATATATATATATATATATATATAGCAATATATTAATATATTAATATATTAATAATAGAATAATAAAGTCTGTATATATATATATATATATATACACAGAGAGAGAGAGAGAGAGAGAGAGAGAGAGAGAGAGAGAGAGAGGGTCAGGCGTAATCGACCGTAGCCTCTTTCCCTCAGATTCAACCGACGTGAGCCCTGACGAATCGGCTACACTCCTCTCCCACCCCTCTGCTCTTCGTCTCCTCCCGTTCACCCGCCAGGGCCGCCACCCTCAGTGCGAGATGGTGAACGGGGGTCTCAATTTTGCGGACACTGCCTCCATTGGAGATTGAAGATGAGCTGGAACTTGGTATCCTGGGAGTCGAGCGCCATGACAGCCTTCTGGCCCTCCACTCTCACCACCGTCTTGATGTTCAGATTGGGCGCGTTGTTGCACTCGCTCCAGACAAGGGTCAGGAAGTCGTCCGTGAACTCGAAGCTGCCAACCTTTGGGCCTTTGATTTTGCGCTCGACCATAGCCGTCCCCGTTTGTCCGGAGAAGTAGTAGTGAGTCTCGTAGATGCCGTCGGAGTTCTCGGCGATGTCAGCGAACCCGCGGCCCGTGGCCTGACCAATGGAGACGCTCCAGCCATCCGGGTAGTTCATGAAGAACGACATCTGGCAAGACTTCCTCTTGTCGGCGAGCGACCCGTCCGTGGTCGCAACCATCCCGCCGAACATGAAGGTGACAGTCTTGTAGTCGTTCGACAGCACCCAGTTGGTGTTGTCGTAGTTGCAGCCGTTGCCTGCGTAGGTGACATAACTGATAGTCACCTCAGTCGGAGTCTGCGCGCTCGTCTGGACTGCAGCAGCGATCATCAGAAGAACGGCCGCTAGAACCACCTGACGCGCCATTGCCCTCGACCTCTGCCTCCACCCCCCCTCAACAAGCTTCACGGTGCACAGAGAAACGTGGTCCTTGGAAGACACAAAGGCAAGCGTGAGGCGCAACTCGCTGCTGCTCCGTTCAAAGCCCCACTCCTCGACGTCTCTGCTATCCGTGTGCAATCAACAAGAACACCGATTGCGAGTGTGTGCGTGATTACGCTTGTGTAGTCTATGCCCGACCTACGCAGTTCCGTTTGCTTTTATGCAATGTCATTCACTCGTAGCAGTCGCTAAAGTTTGAGTTCCGCCTCGAGCCAGCAGTCATGTGCTGGGACGGGGTGGCCCTGAGTGAGTCACAACAGGCTCGTCCCTTTCGGCCCCAAAGGCTCTTTTCGGCCCAAATGCTGTTACGTTCCTGGGGAAAAATTAGCACGACCTTACTCGAGGCGTTTTTGAGTTGTTTCAGACCGGCAATGCCGGTCAGCTTCATGCTCGCTCTACGGCGGCCAGGGGGAGGAAGTTTTCTTTTTATTTTTAGTAGTACTGCAGTACTTGTCCACTCAGATCGTGTATAGGGCCACTGGTCTCTGAAGTAGAGGGTCCAGAATGAAGGCAAGTGGAACGTGCCCGCGGTTCTTTCCTTTGGAGGATGACATGGAATATCAGCATGCTCTCTGAAGCAACACACCTCGCTCTGCAATGAGTCCAAAAGAAGAAGGAAAATGAAAGCTCACACAGAACAGTATTTCTCCGCAGTGCTTGGCTTGAAAGTCGTGATTACCTTGTTCCAGAAAAGAAATCACAGAACGAGAAAAAAACATATCCCAGGCGACTCGCCAAAGTCGACCATTGCCAACGCAGCCGGGGAAAGTGGGGCTGGGAAGCCTTGACCAGCTTGAGCGTGGTGGAAGATCCACATGTCGTGACGACAGGAGTAGGAAAAACTTTCCTGCCGAGAGATTTGAATCCAGCCCAGCCAGGTTTGAATTTTGGAAACGTCCGGAGTTGCGGCACTACCGAAACTACGAACCTTGCCGCTCTTGCGGCTCGGTTCATGCTCTCGCGACAAAAAGCATACCTGCCATATGGGCAGACCACAGTCCGGAGCTTATGCTCCCACCTAGACATGGCTTCAAGTATACTACCGCTGGAGGAACTCAGCCACACGTCCGGCAGTGACTCGCGTGAAGCATGACACTGCAGTGGGGAAATTGATCCCCCCCCCCCTCCTCCTTCTCCTCCCCCCCTCCTCCTTTCACGGAATACTTGTACCACAGGGCTTGTTGCTTATCTCTGGACGTAATTGCCCGGTCGGATACTATCAAGAGAGTACTGCTGTGAGTACACCATGAGATTCCCATCCTTCACTGCTACGGTGCACTCTGACAAGCCACCCGCCAGTCGGGCTCGACAGACGTTCTGAAACTGGCCGGGACACAAGAGGGCGACTAGTCGGGCTATGACAGTAGTGCTAAGCTCTACTCAACCTCAAACGCGCTAAGGTACGTGCATTTGGCGGGTCTTTAGCCAACGAGACCTTGACGAGGAAAAGTTGGTTTGCTGACGTTGGAATGGAAACAGCTCAAAACTGAAATGGGCATTGGGCACAAATTGACTGTCGACATCAATGTTCGTGGGGATCATTGACGACTACCTTCAAGTTATCTTTGCATCACAGTGGCCGTCTTGAAGACCGTAAATGGGTCCCTGATCTTGGCTCAGATTTGATTTTGCAAAACAGAAAAAAAAAAAAGGCAAAAGGAAAAATAGAAGATTTCGCATTTGGAAGTGGCTCCTGCGTGGCAGACTGGAACTGTAGACTGAGCACAGAGCAAAAGGACGTGGGAAAAGTCATAAACCTTCCCGCGACGAAACCTTCGTATCCATTTCCCCCCAAACGAATAAAAAGTGGCGCAGGTCCGAAAATCACTTCCGCGTCATTTTTGCACACTGCAAACACTTCCCCCCCAGTTCTTACAACACAGCGGCCGTTACCGGCCCAGCCAGGGTGCAAAAGTGACGCCCAAAGTGATTTTCGGACCTGCGGCACTTTTATTCTCGTTTGGGGGCAAATGGATACAATGGTTTCGTCGTGGGGAGATTTTGGGTCTCGCTCCACTACTGTCCACTGTACAATTTTTCGGACAGTTGATGGACAGTTGTAAGAGCGAAATATTGTGCAGCGGACAGTGGAAAATGCGACATCGCTCCATTTAGGGCCTCGCCACACCAATGTCGAAACATCACGAAATTCGACATATGTCAGGAAACTTTCGACATATCTCAGGAAACTTTCGACATTGGGCATCGCCACACCACTCTCGAGATGTGAAAAAGACAAAAATGTGGCGGTTGCATCTGGCCATGTTCTAGCTCGAAGTTCATCCTCGTTTTGCACATTTAGAGAGTAGTGTGGCGATACCCATTCCCTCTTTCGACAGAAAAACCCTCTTGGCCACACAGTATGGCGAAGTGAAGTACTCACGAGTCCTATGCACAAAAGAGACAAGCTGGGGTGAAGATAGGACAAGCTTCTCTTTTTCGAAATTCGGGCAAGAATTCTACATCCCATCCGAGGACTGTTGAAAATGTCCAAGTTGCAGGCTGGGAAACGAGCCCTTCTCGACAGGAGGTGTAGAAACCCTTTCCCTGACAGCTACTGAATTTTTTCTGCATCTCGGATTTCGACATGCTGATGTCTATCCACCATTGCCTGATGTCACAGACATCGTCCTCGAATGACAACATCATGGAGCGATTTTCGCGTGTGTTGTCGAAGCAGGAGACATTGAAATACCCTCATGTTTGATCATCTCCGAAATAGACGACCCGCACCTTAGAGTACGCGGTAAGGCCATAAACTTTAACTGTCGGGGAGCCCTTTCTGACCAATCTCTTTTTGGTCTCAACGGTATGCTGACCACAGACAGCGTACCAGTCGAACTCTGCCGGGTCCCTTTCCAAGAATTCGGTCGGCGTGATCCGCCTTCCCTGGCCGCCGACAATGTCATTGTGGTCAACTGGCGCAAGCACGAGTTCAGGCCTATCCCACGCCCCCGGGTCCGTGCCGATGGAGCTTTCGATGGCATTCTCGATGCCTCGCACAATGTTTTCAGACAACGAGCGGTGGATGAAAATAATCCTTCTGCGGGGAATGCGTTTCATTCTCATGACGTCCACGTGAAGAGCATGGACGTCTTGCGTAGCAAAGCCTTGGTCGTCGTATGCGAGGAAGAAACAACGCGTAGTGTCGATGGGCGCGACGTGCTGAACCGGCTCATCAGCATCTTCGGGCATGCGAGGATCCACTCCCTCGCCCTCATCCCCCGAGTCCCGCAGCTCTTGTGGTCTCACCCTCTGGGAGCCTTTCCGCGCCCCTCCATGGCCAGCGCCCCCACGGCCACCGCCTTGATCCCCAGATCGCCCCCCTTGGCTGTTCTTCCGAGGAGGCCGCGCCTCTTGGGACGGCGTCAGTCCTGGCTTGCCTCTTGTGAATAGAAGCAGGCGGAGAAGTCTCCCTTGTCCTTTTCTTCGCCTTCGGTCCTTGCATTGCATGTGAGTCGTGCCCACCCTTACCCCTGCTTTGCGATAGCGAAATTCCACGGGACGTCGAGGGCTGACCAATAGCGGCTCCCACAGCGCCGGCGGGGGAGATGTCATGACCATGCATTGGCGTGTCGGCGTCCTCGTCAGCAAGCACGCCCCGGTCCTCCATGTTGTCATCCCCAACTTCCACATCTGCTTCATTACCGCCGTCGTCATGTGGGCCGACACTTCCTCCTTCCTCGTCCGCATCGTTGTCCTCGTCCAGGGCAACTGCACTGCCCTGGGAATTTTCACGACCAACATTGCGCTGGCGCAGAAGCCTGTCATCAAACTCCGTTGCCTCGCTTGAACCTTGAGCCAAATCACGACCTCCCCTCACGGAGGGCGAGGGAAGATTCGAGCCCGACGACCCACCCGGCAACTGCTTTGTCTTCCCTGTCGTCGCGGACGGCGTTTGTCGCCTGCTCTTGGAACCCGCCTCGAAGGGCAAAAAAACACAGTCCGCTTGCTGGTCCGGCGGCAGCTTCGAGAAGTCTTCCCTGTACCGCTTAACCACACCTGGAAGCACGTCCATCAGACTGTTGAATTGGACCAAAGGCTTGCTCATCCGAAAAGAACTGTCGACGACAGGAAGGCAGCCAGTGACGCGGTTGGCGTTCGTTTTGCTGAGAAATTCTTCCGGAGAAAGCATTCGGAATTCAGTTCCGTCCCCACGCACGTCAAACGCTTTCATGGAGAAAGCCTTGACGCCATATCCTTGGAAGAGACGCAGGTCAAGGGAGACCTTCTTGTCTTCCTTGACCCAGTCCGTCCCAACGCTGTCGAAGACGGACGTGAGGAAAAAGGTCTTGAACGTCCTCCCTTCGTAGGTCTACCTGCCCGCCTCGGATTTCTCCACACCCCTACAACAGTACCAAGTGGCGCCATTGTCATCGCTCAAGAAGATAACAGCCCCACACCCTGGTTTATGCAAACCGCCTACCCAGTCAAGAGCCCACGGTTTGTCGTTGTAAGTCTTAGACCCGTCGTACCGTTTATTTTGAGCAGAGGTCGGCGCACCAGATTTACCTGCCGGTGGCAAAGGCAGAACAAAGACGGCCAGGAGAACAGCAATGAGCACCACACAGAAACACTTGCACGTGGTCCTAGACATTCAAGAAGGCACGTGACCCGCCATACGCCCGCCATCCTTTCGGCAAGGGGGGTTTGCGAGGGTGTCGGGAACGTTGCATACCAGACAACCGTGCATGGTCGAGGGGGCCGGCGTTCCCAGTCCGCCGGACCCTCGCCATCCTTTCGAGGCAGGGGGTCGAGGGTTCCCATTCCAATGCCTCCCCTCCCCACCCAAGAAGGATGGCGGGGGCAGGGCGTTTCGGGAACGCCCGACCCCCGGGCCCCCGTCATCCGTGTCGACGTCGGAGATCCGCGTTTCCAATCCGCTGAACCCCCATCCGAAAAGGGTGGAGGGGGTAGGGCGTTTCGGGAACGCCGGACCCCCGACCGAGCACGGGTGTCGGAGGTCCGGCGTTTCCAATCCACCGGACCTCCATCCGAAAAGGGTGGAGGAGGTAGGGCGTTTCGGGAACACCGGACCCCCGACCGAGCACGGGTGTCGGAGGTCTGGCGTTTCCAATCCGCCGGACCTCCATCCGAAAAGGGTGGAGGAGGTAGGGCGTTTCGGGAACGCCGGACCCCCGACCGAGCACGGGTGTCGGAGGTCCGGCGTTTCCAATCCGCCGGACCTGCATCTGGAAAGGGTGGAGGAGGTAGGGTGTTTCGGCAACGTCGGACCCCCGACCGAGCACGGGTGTCGGAGGTCCGGCATTTCCAATCCGCCGGACCTCCATACCGAAAGGGTGGAGGGGGCAGGGCGGTTCAGGAACGCCGGACCCCCGACCGTGCACGGGTGCCGGAGGTCCGGCGTTTCCAATCCGCCGGACCCCCGTACGGAAAGGGTGGAGGGGGTAGAGCGGTTTGGGAACGCTGGACCCCTGACCGTGCACGGTGTCGGAGGTCCGACGTTTCCAATCCGCCGGATCCCCGTATGGAAAGGGTGGAGGGGGTAGGGTGGTTCGGGAACGCCGGACCCCCCACCGTGCACGGGTGTCGGAGGTCCAGCGTTTCCAATCCGCCGGACCCCCGTACGGAAAGGGTGAAGGGGGTAGGGCGGTTCGGGAACGCCGGAACCCCCAACCGTGCACGGGTGTCGGAGGTCCGGCGTTTCCAATCCGCCGGACCCCGGTACGGAAAGGGTGGAGGGGGTAGGGCTGTTCGGGAACGCCGGACCCCCGACCGCGCACGGGTGTCGGAGGTCCGGCGTTTCCAATCCGCCGGACCCCCGTACGGAAAGAGTGGAGGGGGTAGGGCACAACAAACTGATCGCCCCATCATTCATGGCATCTCCCCAACATGCCCTCTTCCGAAATCGAACTTATCCAAAACCAAAAAAAAAAACACCAAAAAAAAAAAAGAGAAAAACAGCAAATCCCCTACGCTCGTTGTTTCACAACCACTGATCAGCCCTTCGTTCGGTGTTCCACAACCACTGATCGTTGATCCTACATGGCATCGCCCGATCATTCCCTACTCGAAATCGAACTTTTTCGAAAACGAAAACAAAAAAGAAACCGAAAAAATAAATAAATAAATCCCCATCGCACTTTGTGGGGGAGAGGAGATCAGCCCTCCGTTCGCTGTTCCACAACCACTGATCCTACATGGCAACCACTGATCTTTGATCCTACATGGCATCGCCCCATCATTCCGTTTTTGCAATCGAACTTTTTCGAAAACGAAGACAAAAAAAAAAAAAGCAAAAAAAAAAAAAAAGAAAAACAGGGAATCCCCATCGCACTTTATGGGGGAGCGGAGATCAGCCCTCCGTTTGCTGTTCCACAACCACTGGTCTTTGATCCTACATGGCATTGCTCCATCATTCCGTTTTTGCGATCTAACTTTTTCAAAAAAAAAAAAAAAAAAAAAAACCAGCAAATCCCCAGCGCACTTTGTGGGGAAGAGGAGATCAGCCCTCCGTTCACTGTTCCACAACCACTGATCCTACATGGCAACCACTGATCTTTGATCCTACATGGCATCGCCCCATCATTCCCTCCTCGGAATTGAACTTTTTCGAAAACGAAAACAAAAAAAAAAGCCAAAAAAAAAAAGAAAAACAGCGAATCCCCATGGCACTTTGTGGGGGAGAGGAGATCGCCCTCCGTTCGCTGTTCCACAACCACTGGTCTTTGATCTTACATGGCATCACCCCATCATTCCGTTTTTTGCAATCTAACTTTTTCGTAAAAGATAACAAAAAAAAAAACAAAAAAAAAWARARAAAAACAGCAAATCCCCAGCGCACTTTGTGGGGGAGAGGAGATCAGCCCTCCGTTCGCTGTTCCACAACCACTGATCCTACATGGCAACCACTGATCTTTGATCCTACATGGAATCGCCCCATCATTCCCTCCTAGGAATCGAAATTTTCCGAAAACGAAAAAAAAAAAAAACAAAAAAAAAAAAAGAAAAACAGCAAATCCCCATGGCACTTTGTGGGGGAGAGGAGATTGGCCCTCCGTTCGCTGTTCCACAACCACTGGTCTTTGATCCGACATGGCATCGCCCCATCATTCCGTCCTCGAAATCGAACTTTTCCGAAAACGAAAACAAAAAAAAAGCAAAAAAAAATAAAGAAAAACAGCAAATCCCCATCGCACTTTGTGGGGGAGAGGAGATCGGCCTTCCGTTCGCTGTTCCACAACCACTGATCCTACATGGCAACCACTGATCTTTGATCCTACATGGCATCGCCCCATCATTCCCTCCTCGGAATCGAACTTTTCCGAAAACGAAAACAAAAAAAAATAAAGAAAAACAGCAAATCCCCATCGCACTTTGTGGAGGAGAGGAGATCGGCCCTCCGTTCGCTGTTCCACAACCACTGATCTTTCATCATACATGGCATCGCCCCATCAATCCGTTTTTGCAATCGAGCTTTTTCGAACAAGAAAACAAAAAAAAAGCTAAAAAAAAAAAAAAAAAACCGTGAATCCCCATCGCACTTTGTGGGGGAGAGGAGATCGGCCCTCCGTTCGCTGTTCCACAACCACTGGTCTTTGATCCTACATGKCATCGCCCCATCATTCCGTTTTTTGCAATCGAAATTTTTCGAAAAAGAAAAAAAAACAAAAAAAACAAAAAAAAAGGAAAAACAGCACATCCCCATCGCACATTGTGGGGGAGAGGAGATCAGCCCTCCGTTCGCTGTTCCACAACCACTGATCCTACATGGCAACCACTGATCTTTGATCCTACATAGCATCGCCCCATCATTCCGTTTTTGCAATGCAACTTTTTCGAAAACGAAAATAAGAAAAAAGCCAAAAAACAGAAGAAAAACAGCGAATCCCCATCGCACTTTGTGGGGGAGAGGAGATCCGCCCTCCGTTCGCTGTTTCACAACCACTGGTCTTTGATCCTACATGGCATCGCCCCATCATTCCGTTTTTTGCAATCTAACTTTTTCGAAAAAGAAAACAAAAAAAAAAAGAAAAAAAAATAAAGAAAAACAGCAAATCGCCAGCGCACTTTGTGGGGGACAGGAGATCAGCCCTCCATTCGCTGTTCCACACCCACTGATCCTACATGGCAACCACTGATCTTCGATCCTACATGGCATCGCCCCATCATTCCGTTTTTGCAATCGAACTTTTTCGAAAACGAAAACAAAAGAAAAACCAAAAAAAAAAAAGAAAAACAGGGAATCCCCATCGCACTTTGTGGGGGAGCGGAGATCAGCCCTCCGTTCGCTGTTCCACAACCACCGGTCTTTGATGCTACATGGCATCGCCCCGTCATTCCGTTTTTGCGACCTAACTTTTTCGAAAAAGAAAACAAAAAAAAAAACAAAAAAAAATAAAGAAAAACAGCAAATCCCCAGCGCACTTTGTGGGGGAGAGGAGATCAGCCGTCCGTTCGCTGTTCCACAACCACTGATCCTTGATCCTACATGGCATCGGCCCATCATTCCCTCTTTGAAATCGAACATTTTCGAAAACGAAAACAAAATAGAAACGGTAAAAAAACAAAAGCAGCAGATCCCCGCCGCACTTTGTGGGGGAATGGAGATCAGCCCTTCGTTCGCTGTTCCGCAACCGCTGATCTTTGATCCTGCATGGCATCGCCCCATCATTCCCTCCTCGAAATCGAACTTTCTCGAAAGCGAAAACAAAAAAAAAAAGAACCAAAAAAAAAAAAAAAAAAAACAGCAAACCCCCATCGCACTTTGTGGGGGAGAGGAGATCAGCCCTCTGTTCGCTGTTCCACAACCACTGGTCTTTGATCCTACATGGCATCGCCCCATCATTCCGTTTTTTGCGATCTAACTTTTTCGAAAAAGATAACAAAAAAAAAAAAGAAAAAAAAAAAAAGAAAAACAGCAAATCCCCAGCGCACTTTGTGGGGGAGAGGAGATCAGCCCTCCGTTCGCTGTTCCACAACCACTGATCCTACATGGCATCGCCCCATCATTCTGTTTTTGCAATCGAACTTTTTCGAAAACGAAAAAGAAAAAACCAAAAAAAAAATGGAAAAAAAAAGGGGGAAAAAAAGGGAAAACCAGCAAATCCCCATCGTGTATTGTGGGGGAATGTGATACCTCCTCTTACCTTTGCTTCCCATGGCGGTAGGAGATGCTGCACGATCGCTCACGCGGAATGGAACAACTCTCTCTCTCTCTCTCTGTCTCTCTCTCTCTCT